ACACACACACACACACACACACACACACACACACACACACACACACACACACAAATGCCCAGAAAAAACCAGTTTAAGTTACCGCCTAACTGAGGAATATTTACTCACGGGGTGTATTTTAAATCGTTGTAGCGCAGCATTTTCCATCTCCTTACTGAAACCTTTCTTCAAATTTTCCGCTTGAAATTCTTTCAGCCGTGAACAGTTGCAGCAATCCACAAAATCTCGCGTCCTTATGAACGATTCTGCTGGCTCTTCAACTGAAAAAAAAAAGATATTTATATTTGTAAATCTGTCTTCCATTCCACGTAGTATTTCATCGTGGTCTCGAAGTGGTAAAATGTCGAACAAACAGGCGTGGCCCTAAATCATGGCTAAGTGCACGTCGGAACTCAATTTAGGTATACGATTTCCCTTACGGGCGATAAATATGCTGACAAAATTTAATCCACTGTTTTCGGGCAGGTTTTAAAGGACACCACAAAAGGAAGTCTTGCCAAATGCTTCTTTCAGAACTTTTGAGCCAATAATACCTCAAGAAAACAAAACGAGCATTAAAGTCGCCAAAAAGCAATGCAGCAGTGGTCAAAGCAAGTGGGAAAACTGTCAAATGTATAGAATTACTCGATACCTCATGCATCGAAGATATGTAAATTTGCTGATGGATGTGACGTAAAACAGAGTTATTCTTAAGTCGCCAAGTCAACAGCTCGATTCCGCTAGTGGAAAACTCAACACATGAATTTGCTTGATCTTTTTAACAACAACTGATAGAGCACATACCTGGGATGTATCCCCCGTCAGCTTGCTTCTAAGCAAATTTTGGAGGAGAGTTTCCCGTCTTCCCTGGCAGCCGGTGTTTGCTGGTAGCAATGTTCTATCATTATATTATTTACTTCCAAGTAGCTTCGATTCTCAAAGAGTATAAAATATGGATCTTCGTCCAATTCTGATAGCGGTAAGAAATGTAGACTTAATGGACCGAAACATTACTTACCTATAACAAATATTTCTTTATACATTACTTACCTATAACAACATTACTTACCTATAACAAATATCTATTTTAATATCCTTTTCCTCTTCTTCCTTGTTTCCTTTTTCTCCTGATATTTTCTTTTTAACCTTTAATTATCCGGAAGAGGGAGGCTCAAAATAGAGAAAAATGGAGAAGTTGTCAGCTGCATCAATGACGACGAGGAACGCAAGGCAGTCATTGTATTTATTTCTAAAAAAAACCCTTTCTGCTCTTTTTTTAGAGATAAAAAGCATGCCGCAATTTCTGAAAGATAAAAAAAGCAAAATATAGAAAAAATCACAGTAACACAAAAATGACAACCAAAAAGGCTATATTAAAAACCTCTGTTACCTGTAATGTCATGAACTTTCGAGTCGTTAATCAAATCACTGTAAATTGCTTGCAGAAATCGGCCACCATTGCCTGCATGGCGAAAAGCTGGTAGCAACAGCATATGAGCAATTCTCGGGCGCACCCTATCTGGGTAATTATAGAATCTTACAATTGATGAGTATCCAGCAAGCACGAAACGACGGCATCCATCGCTCATTTTCACTGATTCATAGCTGCAAAACAAAAAATTATTGCAAAATCCAGGGAAGCAATGTGTGCTTAGGCAAATAATCGCGAAAAATAACAAATTTTGCGAATCAAAAAACAGCAAAATGAAGAAATTCCTGCATAAAGAAAACTAAGCAGAAGTTAAAGTACCATAAAATCGGGTGTCTGAGAAAGGTGAAAGCCTATGACCCAAACGAACGGTACCCAAGCAAAACCACAAAGAAGTCATAGAAGGTAAGTCTGCAAACTGAGGTATCACAAATATTAAAAAAAAAGTTCAACTTACAGGAAATAATGCTGCCATCGTGTATCGGTGTTATCAGTGTACTCGGCGCCTTCAATATACCATAAAGCAAGTGTCTGAACTCGAGCCAAATAAGCATCGAAAGCTGGCGAACTTTCATCCACCTTCCAAACCTGCATCTCGCGCTCATCTAAACAACATGTACTTGCCAAACAATAGCACCTTTAAATTCAAACAAATCCAGGAAAAATAATAACTGGCCAGTGCACCGACTGCCGCTGCAAAGATGCGTTTTTTGCATATTTTCCTGCAGATTTTTCTCGCTAACGGCACTGCTTTTTTGGGCAGATGCTTCTAGCTAAAGGAATTAAGACAGGCCACCAGGACTATCAGAAAATGTAACGTTAAGGTTATAGCTTTCTAGCTTTTCAGTTTCCTGAGTTAGCACTTTACACACAAAAAACTTTCACGGACCCGCATATGGGAATCACGCACACCTGAGGGATGTGTTTGAACTCACTAAAACCTACGTGAGCAGTGAACACCTTAAAGTTTTAGTTTTCTAGCTTTTCTAATTCCCGAGTTAGCAGCGCACCCGCCAAAAACTTTAGCAGGCCCATACAGTAAACCGAACAGGTAACAGCGCCCATTTTTGGGATGGGGGCCGAATGTGCATGTAGATCAAGTCCCCAAAGTTCCAGCCTTAGCAGCTTTTGTAGATCTCGAGATGAAAATCTAATACAGACACATACACAAACATACACACACAGACAACCCTTCGTCCATATGTGTTTTCTGCATTGCACAGATGTAAAAAAAAAAGAAAACACAAAAATGAAAGTTATTTTCTTACCAAAAGCAAACTTGGATAGCAGTATTCCATGAGGTTGGAAATGTCGCTGTTCATCAAGACGAGCTTTAAATGAGGCCATCGTCGGGCACATTGCAGACATTTGCTCTGCCGGAAGTTGTTCCCTCAATTTAAGCAATATATCGTCCGGCTGAAATGCACAAAATCCAGCTCAGTCGCTAGCAAAATCAACGGAATCAATCTGTTACTAAGAAGCAAACACAGTTAATCTCTTCCGAGCTCATTAGTCCCTAGCTAAATATTCCTAGTTCGCATTTGCCATCACAACCGCGTACATTTGCTATCATTTCAGAAGCCATCCGAAGAGTCGCTTTGCTTTCTCTCTTATGAATACCAATCATGGGAAATAAAATCATGATAAAAAGCAAGATAACCAAGAGGATCCGTATTGTTTTTTTAGTTTTTACCTAATGTTAAACATAAATTTTTTCATTAAACACGACATACCCAGATGCCCTGCATATGGCCAAAAAATACCGAAAAAACTAACTAACACTGTATATTTGTATCAAAATAGTCAAAAATTAAAAATAAAAATTAAAAAATCAAATTCGAAGCAAAAATTAAAAACAGATATTTCAGATCAAAAAATACGCATTATGAAATTAGCTAACTAAGAGTGATCACAGCCGAAATAATAAAGAATCAAAAATAAAAACTAAAGAATCAAATTCAAATTAAAAACGGATATCCCAAATCAAAAAAAAAAAACAGTATGAAATAAGCTGTCCAAAAGTGACCAAATAATTAAAAATTGAAAAAAAATTTTAAAAAATTAAATTCAATTTAAAAGTTAAAAACAGACATTTCAGATCAAAAAATACACAGTACGGGATTAGCTAACTGCAACTGATCACAGCCAAAATAATTAAGAATTAAAAATACAAATTTTAAGGAATCAAACTTAAATTAAAAATTGAAAAAAGAGATTTCGGGCTAAAAAATAAAAATATACACTTCATGTTAGATGATGGAAAATTTACTAGTCTAGAACAACGTTATCAGCGCTATTCCACGAGTAAATGCCAAGAAATTAAAGTGTGCAAAACTAGAAACCTTGAATTCGGGAGTTATTGATGAAATATCAGATGTGTATTTTAATTGAACATAAATGTACATCGATGCATCGGTGTGGTGCAAAATCACTTCCAAATCCTTGTAGCCAAAGATTGTCTCACTAAAATATTGCAATAAAAAGTCAAAAAAAATACAACGATCAACAAATACCAGTGAAGTTCCTGATGAGATTACTCAAAAAATCGGTGCAAAAGTTCGATACTAGTGCTGTTCATGGATGCAACCATACGCTAAGCGAAGATGGCGCAAGATTTCTTGTCCAAAACCACATATCTCCAGTTAGAATCACTAACCGATCGATTTATTTTTGAGCAACAACTCTTCAGAAAACGCGCACATAGCTGCTTACATTCCCGGAAGCATAATTCATAAGCAAGTGAAGTCGAATAGTACAAATTTCTAATTTTTTTCATTTCTCACCTTCTTTTTCCTTTTTACTTTATTCCTTCTTATTATAACTTCCTATTTTTTTTCTACATAAAATGTGACAAAAATCTGTTGTTTTTAAGCTTAACTGTATCGTTCTATCGCAGCGTGTCTTCGCATCACAATGTATTTTTCAGCTCCTCATGGCTGCCGTAAGTTAGCAACGACACGCAGTACCCTGGTCAAATCAATTGGAAAAGTTGCCAGCTGCAAAGGCGAGGAGCCAAACTATGAATTTGAAGCTGATCAAAGAATCCGGAGCAGATTTAAGACTGTTGCAAATTTAAAGCTGATCTAAACAGAGCTGTTTCTGTGCTTCTTATTTTTTTCCCCCCCCCAAAAAAAATGTTAAATATTTCACAATCCCTACAGAGCTTAAGAATTTCTTTAGTTACTTTATTGGTCTTCAATCTCGCTATTTTGTAATACTTATCACACACGTAAGGAGAATGTCAGAAGTCATGAAATTTTCATAAATGTTGGACTCCTAGAAAAGCTGCAAGACGAAATATAAGTAGCAGCGTCGGGCAATCAACAAAAATTTCGTCAAAAAAAAAATCAAATTTGATTTACTTTTCGCCAAAATGTTGATAAACGAATTCCGGATGATATTTCTGAGCCGAAACAATTTCGTCAGTATCAGATACTGAAAAAAAGCAGAATGAATACAGGTACAAAATAAGCAAAAAGAATATATGTATGCACATTTGTAAACACATATATATACATATGTGCATGTATGTATGTGTGTACATATATGTATATGTACACATATATACATATACATACACGCATGTATATGTACATATATATATATATATATTATATATATATATATTTGTCATCAGCTTACTTCTAAGCAATCCTCGAAAGAGAGAGTAAATTAATATCTCGGGAACCACGGGTCAAGGAGGCTGAAATTTTAAGGTAATGACTCCCTGCTCACGCT